CATGCTTACCTCTATCGATCCATCGATGTTAAGTTCATCTTCGATAGTGCACGTTTAGGTTTGTCCAGCTCCGCAAATATTCTCCAAATAGCAGATGTCGCCCTTCGAGTTGTCTTCTTGCTGTTCTTGCCATGTTTTTAGCTATTTTTTTCGCCTAGTTCTTACTTTTGAAACAAGTGAAATGTCCGCCATTTTTTGTTTTCACAACCAAAACAACTCAACCTTGTCCCCAGGTCTTCTTGGTTAATGGTACCTTAACCTGCATGAACGCTGCATTTTTGACGTCATTTCCTCGTTAAACACAAAATTCTTCCAAATTTGGTCATCAGAAACTGGTTATGGTGAATTATGCGTGTGCTTTTGGCCTATCAGAATCGGGGAAATATTTTGAATGAATAATAAGTATAAAGACAAAAGCCTAAGTGTAAATGTATTTCCCCGCAGCTTAATGAGATTTCTCCGGCAAAAATGAAGAGTTAAACATCCCTACTACACCACTTACGGCTAGGCTGCCTCTTTTTAAACAAGACTCAAACTATGAAAACCTCGTTAAAGGGTCTTCTCGTTTTCCAATATGCCGCCGCCATTTGAAAATGAGAAGTCCCTGGGAACGAGATTGAAAAGTATGCTATTTACTGGGCTGCCCAGTTAGAAATTCAGTTTTCGGTCGTCTGTGCAGAAAAACGGTCCCCTGGGGGAGGGAAGACACGAGGGTCTGGTACCGAGAAACGATGTTCTCACAAATGGTTTCATACGATTTTCCCTTGAACGGACTCTTGCACGAATACTTTTTGTACCTTGTCTTCGCCCCCCCCCCCCCAGAAACCCAGAAGGCGCTGCGAACCTGAAGAAGGCTATTTGCGTTGTTCGAAGCGATTCGATCATAGGCGTCACTCTACAAGTTTTGTCATTGTTCGAGTTTAAGTCAGTTGATCATGATGTTGGCGCTGGGAAACTCAGAGAAATGCTCACGTTGCATACAAACCCACACACCGTTCACGGTAGGTTCACGCTAAAAGATGACTGTGAGCGTCAGGTTTGGAATGCCGGGGTCGTTTCGTGAACTCATAGAGAAAATTATTGATCGATTTAGTACATGAGCAATTAATACGCAAAATTTATAAGCAAAGTATTTCACCAGTTGACGACACTATGGCTGAAGACTTACTTGATTTTAAGCTGTCGTACTCAGTGAGGCGAACAACTCAGTTGCCGATGAATGTCAGATGAACCTGATGTTATAAAATGGACGTCCATGAGCGAGGGACGTGACAACTTTGCCATGTTAGAAGACTGGCTTTTCCTTTAAATATTTCCTTCTATTTAATGCAACACACGCCACTTAGGAGGTCTAAATTTCGGATACTGAGGATAAAGAAGACATGGACAGAAAAACGCACTTCGAGAATTTTGCACACAAGTTCAAAGCTTCACCGGGACATCCCATCCGAGAGCTTCACAAAGACTAACTTGAGGAAAATAGGAGCTATTACTGACAAGGTTTGGTGACTGAGTAGAGCATACAAGTGTAGCCCAGGTCAAGGTTTCAGGGGTTTGCTTTTGTCTGTATCTGTATCTTGCTAAGCTTTTATCATTTAATTTGTACATGATCTTGTTAACACAATTCTGTGTTTTCGTCCATTCAGCAAGCACGATATATTGATGTCAGCATTAGCGAGTTTCAAAAAACATGCCTTTGTAATTTTTTCAGCTTGCGTGATGTTTCTTGATGTTTCTTGTACCATTTTATGGAGATGTAAACTGAAGTCACCGCAAAATGGGAACTTAAAAAAGAGTATAATCCATTTATCTCGAAACATAATACACATGAATACGAATGAAGACAGTAATTGTAAGGGGCAAAAACAGTATTAATATGAATGAACCTAAAGGTTTTATATACTTAATGTAAGGGTCAATTATTGTGCACTGAGACGTATTGCTTGAAAAGAGAGAGTTCGTGCACATGTCATCAGAAGTAAACAAGGGCACATAGTGCGTTACGTTCAGTCTATTTAATATCCAAGGACTGTGAATAGTGTTTCCATATTGTTTACTAGCTGGCACGAAAACTTCGGAGGAGTTATAAAGCGGCATAGTTATAAATCTGCCATGAAGAAAAGTTAGTCATGGGTAAGACAAACAGCGAACTCGAGCGAATTTTTAACTCACATTGGTATCAGGTAAAAAATATGTTAGCAATCGTTTCATCTATTTACATTGTTTAAAGTGCGTGCTGATGAAAGCAACATGCAAGCGAGGATTTTATTCCTTTAAGTTAGAGTAAAAAAACAAGAGGAAAATCTTAAAGCTGAATATTTTTTATCTTGTGGAAAAAAAAGTGCGTTTTCATGTAGACTGTAGACCGCAATTTAGTATCGTCTATTTAAAGTCTGAGGGTTGCAGACAGTGACGCCCCTGCATCGGGATCAATGGGCAGTTGGCTGTCTGTTTTAGTAAACTTCTGGTTTTCATACAAAACAATATTTCTGTCTAGTGTAAATCAGCCCAGTGGCGAGTAGCTGACCCTGTCGCATTTTATACTTGTAGAACAACAATAGGTTTTGGAATTTCCGGTTACGTCAAAATTAGTCACGTCATACTGTCACGCTATATATTGGGGGGCAGAGGGATTGGGGGAGGGGTGCGTGAAAATAATGCAAATCGTTTCCTGCTTAAAATTATGGCTAACTTGTTTATTTTTATTCATAATGGTGGAATTTAAAAGTTGTTATATAGCCCACTTAAAAATGGTACTCATTTTTTTTGTCACCAAAGTCTTTCAAAAGGGTACAATGTTCTCAATGAGTTTATGTTTCAGTCTCACATGAGATTCTGACAAGGTTTTATGGTAGCCTGAGTGTGTATAACCGCCCCCTCCCCTCAGAAAAAATAGTCCCTTGGCAGCCCAGTTAAAAATTTCCTTTCGGCGATTCTTGCTTCTAAGATAAAAAATAATTTCTTCTTACTTGTATTACACTTGTCACCTTTGCAGCAATCTACAATCTTTTCACAGGTCGCATCACACTGATCTTTGGTAACACATCCGTAGCGATAAGTCGCTTGTATTTTGCCCTCTCTTGTTATCCATTGATACTTAGTTTTTGCGCAGTAGTGAACAGGTATGGGGCAATCTACGTTGTCTTGGTTTTTTTGGCATTCATCAAGAGATGAATTGTTTTCACATCGATAGCAGGATATTACTGAAACGGAGAAAAATAACAATTTCGAACAATTAGACCTAGAAATTTGCGCCGAAATCACTAACCCTAGCCACTTTTACTGATAAAAATATGCTATTTCCCTTTAAGAAAGGATAACATTCGGGGACTTTTTATTTTCATTTTAAGAACTTTTTTATATGTCGTAGATCATTGATAAATATCATGATAAAATAAATAAATACTGATAACTACATAGTGAAAATCAGTGTAATATTTCCCTGGTGGTCAATTCAAAAACTTTCAATCATTTTGGTATCTATCTATTGATTTTGATTCAATTTAGTCCTGGTTTCAAACTTTTCTAAACATGATGAAAGTCATCAAGACGATGACTCGGCCATTAATCAGAGGGATGACGTAACCTATATGTCATATCACCTAATCACGTCTCTTAACTTCTCTAATACCAGAAATTTTTTGTATTTGATATATACACTGCTGATTTGCCAAAAACAATTTAAAATCATCCATTACTGTACTTAACAAATAAAGTAGCTTTGATTGTGCTTTGCTCTGTTGTAAAGCACTCAGGAAGCGTAAAGAGCACAAAAGATGTGTAAGGGGAACATGAGACGTAAAACAAACTATATTGGCAGGGCTTGACAGCTTTAGCCCTGGGTTTTAGGCTCTCATAAAGCACGCTTTATCGACCAACCAGAGTGCGCTTTAAACTTTATCATGAACATTATTGTTGCCAGTCGGTTCCAGAACAACCGAACGCGAGGTCAAACTGAATAGGGTTTTATGTACTGAGCACTGCATCCAAACTGTAATTAGAGCTTCGATTTTGATCAGCCTTTCCCGCCTCACCTGTATTACACAAATCACCATGGCAACATTCCAAGCCTTTTCGGTTGTCAAGTTGTCTGCATAGTTCAGCTGATATACACCCTTGTTCGGTGAATTGTCCATCTTTCGCGCTCTTATTACTGTACTTAAAACAGAGACTTTTTGGAAATGAGCAATCGACTTCAGTGGGAACAGATGACATTTTCCCTGGGCACTTATTATGACAAACTTTACCTAAAGGAAAAAGCAACGTTTTTTAATTCTGGACTAAAGACTTTAACACATTACCAAGGCGTGGGGAGGGGAGGGGAAAGTACGTAAGTAAGAGGGGAAAGTACTCAACAAAATTTTATAGGGGGGAGGCTCCGCCCCGAGGTCCAACTCCTTACCCTTTTATATACCAGTTTTTGACAAAAAAACTGACCCTTTTCGCATACCTTTAATTGACAAATGGCACCCCTTCTACACACCAATTCAGAAAGCTGCATCTTTTTTAACTGCTGTAAATGTACCGTCTTTAAGCTATGAACAAGTCGCTAAACCAGACAGTTTTCTTATGTTTTTCACAGCCATAGAAAGCGCCTGGGACCGCGATGACAGATTTCCCGAACCTTTTATATACTTTATACAGGGCTTCTGATAGGTCGCAGAAAAAAAAGTCAACTTTCGCTGGAATTTTAGAGACAAATTCGCGGAAAAATCGGCCGATTTCGCGGGAATTTCGGGGGAGTTTTCGGGGCAAATTTTCACCAAAAGGAATCGGTAAAAAACGGCTTATTTTGTGATTATTTTCGGGGCAAATTTCGCTACAAATTGATCAGTTTTGCACTGATCAGACCAGCATTTTTAACGTTTTCCTAAGAGAGGTTATCATTTGCTCTTTCAACAACAATACGCTCGAGAAATGAGCCAATGGCAAAGCCTTTAACATCATGGCTAGTGCCCAGTTTTTCGCAACATAATTTACGCCTGGTAGTTTCGGGACATTGTTTGCACGTTTCAGTGACGAAGTTCCAAGATGAATTTGCAAGTTTACGGCAAGTAAATAGCCCCTATAGCTGAAATAAGTTTCAAATATGTTGTACAGACATGTATTTGATAAGATTTCTACCGAATTTTGCGGAATTTTTCGTGTTTTTGTGAATTTCGCGGGATTTCGCGGACTTACCTGAATTTCGCGGCTCTGCGACCGCGCGAAATATCAGAAGCCCTGTTTATAAGAGTAACCCCTACCCTTTAATATACCTTAAGCCTGAAAAAGGCACCCCTTTCTGGCGGAGCCTCCCCATATAGGCCATTTTAGCAAGTACCCTTGGATACCAAGGTTACTTATTGTTTGAAAAGGAATTTTTATAATAAGAAACATAGGCAACAGACCTGTGTTTTCTTCTTTTGATCCGAGCAGGGTCTGAGATACTTTTTGGTTTTGTGCAGTTTTTGACCGGCGTAAAAAGCCGAGATGAAAGTTTATATAAAAATAATGATAAGGAGACCCTACTTTCTTCATTTGTTTTAAATTAAAGCTACTTCCTAGTCTTCAAATGGAAGTGTGCCACCATAATGAAATCACACCTGGGACGCGCTTTTCACAAAGATAAGCATGCCTTTGGCCACAGTCACGGTCTGTCTTTCTATTATCTGTCTTCGAGATTATGCCACATAGTTTAGATTTGTTTCCTTGGTCGATCCAAATGTCCTTTAAAATAAAAAAGCAAAACAGCAACTAACGAATGATATCAGTGATAGTGATGATGATGATGATGATGATGATGATGATGATGATGATGATGATGATGATGATGATGATGATGTACTAACTATAGTTCTTTCCGTTTCTTTCCCATGAGCCACCGACGTTTCATTGTCCCCTGGCTGGGTCTAATTTTTCAAAAGGTGAATAACTATAGGCAAAGCACCTTTTGAATAAATAGGGCCTGATAACAGCGATGAGCAGTCCTAGAACATCATGTGAAGCTTGTCTAGGACCTGTTGAGTCCACATTCACGCTAGTTAGTCTGTGATTGATTATAATATGTCATAAGGCGTCCCTCTACCCTCTACGTGTATAGGTTCTCAGTAGGGTATGCTAACAGGTAAAGATTTAGAGGCATTGAGTATCTCTACAAAATTTTGCGCCGTTTCTGATTGGCTGATCAATTTCCTGTGTATTTTCTCATAATTAGCAGAAGCCTGCCATATTTGCGAGATATAGGAAAAAACCAACCAATTCAATCAGGGTCATAGCCATCCTCGATCTGCGTAATTGTTGTTATCATACTCAGCTTTATTCAGTAATTGATAAATACTATATTTTTTATATCCATATTTATTTCATGATGCTACCTGTTTTTTGGTCACTCTTACTTAATTCAGCTACCTCTTTGAAATTAATAGTGTCCAATAGGCGGGTCAGGAATCCCGTGTCAGTTTTGTTTACAGTACTATTAATTTTCATCAAATTGCTTCCAGAAGCAATGCAGTCCTTTTTTGCATCTTCCCATGTTTTTAAAGTGCTGTGCTTATAGTAGCAAGATAATCCATTCAGATGTCCTTCATCAGGATCAGGCGGGCAACTCAGTGGACCTAATGGATGGGACAAATTAAATATAACGGTTTCAAATGAATGTCGTTTAATTTTCAGAGCCGCCTGTGTCCCCTAGTGACTGAAAAATATCTTTCTTATTTCACCAGGCTTAAAATGCACCGTCACATATCCATCATTGCGTTTAAGCACATATCGAGATTACGGTCCTTGAAGTATGCAGGATGTTTGTCAGGGGCACCCAACGACAGTTTCCTCCTAAATACATTTGACAACACTTTTTGGCTATCCAGAACACTTTTAGACCTTTATAAGTGCATTCTAAGGCCCTGTTTACATGGAGTGGGGGACCCCGGTTTAGTGGGGTAGGTTTCTTTTGTTTTGTGTGCCCCAGAGTGTGAAAACAAAAGAAACCAACCCCACTAGACCGGGGTCCCCCACACCATGTAAACAGACCCTAAGTGGCGCTATAAAAATTTTTATCTTTTCGATCATCCCAGGGGAATGTGAATCTTTCCAAATTACAAGGGCTTCAGTATATTATTTTCCCGAAAATTTTAAAAGCTATTCAACGTATAACAAGAGTTATAGTTTTTCTGATTACTCTCCCCATCACATTTTACATCCGAAATTGTAGGGTTTTTTTTCTACGAAAAATAGCCTAGCCTGGGGAGTGAAATGTGAAAAAATTAACGTAAGAAAATCTTAGGCAATTTAATGGACAAGCTTCGAAAATTGTTCATGAATGGAACGTTCATCTAGAAATTTTTAGCCGTCCCCAAGTAACAGAAAACTTTAGGCAATATTTGTTCCTCTGAAGGAGACATTTTGCAGAAAACATTCGTTGAGTGTCCCTGGTTTGTCACATGACCCTAGTTTAGTGACCTTAGCACTCACGAGTATCCTGTAGCTCAGTGGTAGAGCATCTGTACTAGCAACCAGAAGCTCATAGGTTCTACCACATTTTGAAGTACTCAGATTTTTTTTTCTTTCGAGCCGCCTTTGTTACGAATGAAAAAACATCTTTCTCATAGATCCTTATCATCCTATTCCTAATAAAATTTGTAACTATGTAGTCGATAACTCAACCAGTCACACTATCCATCGGCAAGTAATCGGCTCCTGCCATCGGATAGAGAATCATCCATAGGATAGCGTTAGTTAATTTTTGAACAACTGGCGTCAGAGCTTGCATGAATTTTAGACTACTAGCAGTCTCTCTTTTTTCTTGGTCCGTCGAGCAAAACGCCTGAGACACGCCGTAACACCACGCGCATGACTGAAGGTGAGAGACGGGAGAGGTACGACTTTTTTCTTTTCGGGCTGCCGCCCTCGTTTCCCGCTTCTCTTGCGGCTTCGACACTCAACGCTTGCACATGTGCACTCCCCATACTAAATCTGGGTCCAGTTGTTCGAAGGCCGATTAGCGCTTAACCCGGGGTTAAATTTAACCAGGTTTTTTTTTCTTATGTTCAAAAGCATTTTCCCGGATAATTTTCTCTGTTGTTCTAAATTAGAGTCGAGCTTCTAATCATCAACTTGTAGACAAAAAGAATTAAAACTGAAATGCTTTTTAAGCGTTCAAATCTGAATTCAAATCTAGCACTAACCCTGGGTTATCTTAACCCAGCTTTGAAAAACTCGGCCCTGAAGAAAAAGAGAGACTGCTCGCAGTCTACATGAATTTTAGCCGTTTTCTCAAGTCTCCCTCATTAGCAGGGCTCTCTCCTCCGTGGAGGCCTCGAGGCTGGGGAGAAACAAAAAGAGAGAGCGCACCCATCCCATCGTCCCCGCGCGCTTTCTATTGGAGCCTCTGAGGAAGAGAGAGGCAGCAGGGTTCGAGACAGGGAGAAGGATCTCTTTCGGGAGTTTGCAACTCGAGAAGACGGCTGAAATTCAGGCAACCAGAGCAATAGCTCAGGCTCTAAGCGAACATGTTGAAACGTTTTTATCCAGCACGGTAGAACAGTACTTCGCATTGGCTGAAAATTGGATGAAATATTTGAGCATTGCAAAAGCATATAAACGCGAATTTTGTTTAGTCAAAAAAACTTTACAAAAGTTGCATTAATACCGAATTTTGCAAGCATCAACGAATTCATTATTGTAGCGGAGCAGTTAATTTGGCTTTGTATAATCCTTTTGGCAAACATTTCTTGGCATTGTTGTCCCTCGTATATGGGCCTGGTTACTTTCTTTACGTATTTAGAAGCAACTCACCTTTCAGTCTCTCACAGATGTAGTACTCGGTCTTCTTGCAACATTCAGTAAGGTTCCAGCCATTTCTCAATAGTTCCACACATTTGGTCTCATTGCCATTAAGCTTACTTGTTGTGTTTCCATACCACTCGACGGATAAAGAATGATTAAAAGAACTTCCATCGCTCCATTTGTATATACCCTTCGGAAGCCAATGAACCAACCCAATCCAAGCAGATTTCGAAGGCAACAGATTATGAACAAATTCCTTTTCCGTTTCACTTGTCATGCTAACAAGATAACCTCCATACCCCATACATGCGCGTGACGCTTTTAACCAGCCGCCAGATATCTTGGAATGTTCAATTTCCTTCATCACCTTGTAGCAAGAACGTTGAAACTCAGTCCAACCATGAGGGCAATGTAAAGCTAGAGAAAAATGAACAAATTAAAATTAATAAAGTGATCTTTGTCTCTAACGATACATTTCTGCGATCTCCTTGTTTCAAATGGAGAAGGGATAGGTACAAGTCGGTTTCATAAACAACACCAGGTCCAAGTACTCAGAAAGAGCACATTGAAAAATCTGTTTTCTGCCCGGCAGCTGGTAGTCTACCACACATCCGTTTTTTATTCACCTTTTCTATATTTAAATTTTTAATTATTTCTAAACAGTTGTAAATTTTTGTTTTTAATAGCCTTTTCTTTGTTCTAGGCTATAGTTTTTAATAATACTAGTTGTAAATTTTGTTTTTTCTAGCCTTTTTAACGCTTAGATAGAGTCTATTTGTAAGCCATTGTATATTCTAACGCAGGTTTTATCTCTGGAGTGAAATCATACTGATCATATGTGAAGTTCGGATGCAAAATCGAATAAAGAATGCAGAGAATTCACCATTTTCACATTGCCCATCATACAATTTAGGCATTGTCTTCAATTTCTCTTGGGACGACTATGATAAAGCCCTTTCACTCACATGGTTAGTATCAATGCAAAATTATTGGGACAAAAGAAAGCGTTCAACTACCTTGACGTCATGTGTAAATGCTCTGAACAATGTTATGCAAATTCCTTTTTTTGGGAGGGGGGGGGGGGGGGGGATGAGGGGGAGGTGAACAAGGGACAGGGTTATAACAAGTTGGAATATGACTTACCAGCATGAGATATAGTTGTCACGAGCAAGAGTGAGACGAACAAGTGTATATTGGTCATTGTGACTCAGATCTAAGGTGAGAAGCAAAGGATTTTTATAATAAGCAGGAGCCCATAACCCGGAGCGAGCAACTCCCATACTAGGGCTATGTCACGGCGTTTTTAGGGACCAGTTTAATTGATTTTTAGACACATTTTAGGGCACTTTTTCCTGCGAAAATAGAATCTCCACCATATCTATGAGCGCATTCGAAGTATAAGATATCAAAAAGGAAAACTAATGTTATTAAAAGGCAAAAAATGTCATTTCTAGGTCTGTAGGTTTTGCTGACAGGTTTGTGGAATTTACCAGATATTCAAAATTCGCACCACAAGCGGTCTAAAAATAAACTGGTCCGTGAAAACGCCATGACACAAGCGCAAGGAAGTTGCTCGCTACGGATTATGGTTGCTACATGTGTGATATTTTGCTTCAAGAAGTGACTTCATGTTATTGCATTTTAGGTACGCACTAATTTCGGGGTACCCATCCCACAATGACGGTCAATATGAAAATCGCAGCAAAAGTCGTGTACAGCCTTTCGACCGTTACTGCGACGCAAGGAAAAAGTTAGTTGATCGTCAGCCGAAGCCATTCAAATTGACGATTGCAAAACCGAGTTCTTCATGAAGCCACTACAGCGATAATTTTTCCTTGTCTGCGGGGCGTCTCCTTGCAGCTTTTTGTTTTTAGACTTTGGTGTTACAAACTGGAAATTATGCTTTGATATGGTTAGAAATAGCGGCTGCTGCAAATACAGTTTCAAAATTAAATTGCATGAAATCCTAGTCAAGGTCATGGGAAAAGATCAAAAGAAAAGAACATAAAGATTTCAGTAAGACCCAGTAAGAGTTGGAAAAGAAGTTTATATTTTTGCAGACCAGTTATAAATAGAGCGTTTTTACTCACGTGCCCAGCAGCTATGCAAATTAATTGCAACAAAAAAAGCGTTTACATAAGAAAAGAGTTCGACTCCCACAGTATTGGTTTGGAACACAAACATGGCCGCCATCCCAGCGTTCTAGAAGACCAATATGGCCGCCGTGAAAACGCTGAATCACCTTTACAGTGCTCGTCACGCGACCACTGAAGATTGCCTTTAACTCGCTGTGAACTGTTTTTTATATCTACAACAAACAAAAATTATTTTTTTACGCCTGTTATACGAAATAGGAATTTTTTGGACAGTTTTTGTCCCCCAATCTCCTAATTTGAGAAATCTTTCACCTAAGTTTGACGTTAGTCATGAAAGTATGTCTCCCTAACTGATCGGTGAATTTCACATCATCATTTCAACATAATATGTAATGTTTTATCCTCTCTCTTTTTTTTAAAGTTTGCGCCTTTTATCGTTTAATCCACAGATCTCTGGAATAGAAAAGAAAGTTTCAAAACCAAAAACCTCAAGCAGAATATTTTTGCAGGGACTAAGAGATATCAAGAAAACCGCAAGTACACCACCTGATTATATAGAGAACGTTCGTCAAGTTAAATGAAACAGTTCAATGCCGTCAACCCGGCGTTGGAGTTGTTCAGGGCTCCAACTTTGCAGCAGTCACCTGTTGTACAAGGAAGTAATAACGGAGTTAAGAAAACAACAAGACGGATCTCGATCTTGCTTCTATTTTTAGGAAACTTGCTTCTTAAAATTTTTTGATAAGTTTGGATATCTAAGCTCAAAAAACACGAAACGGCTTTACTTAATTCAGCATGATAGATCGTTGAATGCGGGCTGTGTTCTAAATTTTGCTCGGAATTTCTTACGTAGAATCTCTTACGCCTTCATTATTAAAACCATAAACATAATTCATCGCCAAGCATTCGTTTGTCGATCGCATTTTGATTCTGAAATATGAGAAACAACTGCTTTCTTAAATTTATGCAGAGAGCAGTGTAAATCAACCTGTCAGTTTTTACCAAGTAAAATTTCAAAACTTGTTAATAGTAGCCAATGATAAAGCGAGTCAGAAAGGTGGCTACTAACAATTATACCAGCTAGGAAATGCAAAATTCATAAATTCACTCCTCCAAAAAAAAAAAAA